AGACGATGAAGCTTTTTCCTTTTGAGGAACAGTTTTAAAGGTCTTTTCCATTTCTAAAGCGAAGAATCCGAGAAAAGGGAAATTGTCGTTAGAAAAGAAAAGGGAGAGTTCAAGGAAATTGAAAGGGGCTAAATGAAATTTTGGAAGCACTAATGGAGTAATATTAGCAAAGTTATGAGGTTTTGTCTATTTATAAAAATTGTTTGAACGTGCGGAGGAAGCCAAAAGGCCGACCGTTGGCCGCCTACAATTAATGATTTTGAGAATCGTGCCAAAGCACCTTCATTCACTTTAACCACTTACGTCATGATGTTGGCATCAAAACCAAAGCATCAGGAATCGGGTTGTCAGAAACTATTGAGAACAATCTATGAGTTGGCTCGAGTAGTCATTCACTTAATTATTTAGCCCCGGGCTACCCGAGTTTGAGCCAGCTCTTGCTCGGGGACTATATATGAAACCTCAGGGCTACTTTTTTCTCTCGAGTTCGAGCGAACGCGCACTCGATTATTTAGCCCCCGAGCTACTCGAGTTCGAGCCAGTTCTCGCTCGGGGACTATGTATAAAGCCTCAGGGCTACTTTTTTCTCTCAAATTCGAGCGAACACTCACTCGATTATTTATTCCACGGGTTACCCAAGTTCGAGCAGGTTCTCACTCAGGGACTATTTATAAGGCCTCGGGGCTATCTTCACTTTAAGTCAAATTTTCGCTCAATTACGGGCTGCCCGAGTTCGAGTAAACTCTCACTCAGGGACTATTTATAAGGCCTCAGGGCTATCTTCACTTTAAGTTCGAACAAATTCTTGCTCAACTGAGGGCTGCCCGAGTTCGAGCAAACTCTCGCTCGGGGATTATTTGTAAAGGCCTAAGGGCTATCTTTATTTTCGGATGATCAAGCAAGTGACCCCTGGTTGTGAAATCTAAAAGCTTCTTTAGCTCGAGAAGCTTACCACCCGAGGACTATTAGCGAGGCCTAAAAGGGCTAGGCTTTATTTCAAAAAATCGAGACCCTGCTCTCACTCAATTCGGGCCCAGAAGTCCCGGCGACCTAAGTTCACATCAAATCAGTCCAGGCTTAGTCTAAGGGATAGCGGAAAGATCCAAGGAATGTCATGTTAACCAATTAAAAACTTAAGGGTTATTATGACCGGGCCCAGTATTCGGACCAATCGATAAAGTCATGCATTTGCATTTCTCGCAAACAAAGGCGAAATGGAGTTCAACCCAAATTGAAGGCAAAATAAAGAAACTCTTATATTAATAAAAGACGATTAAAAAGATCCACGAAGGGTCCTTACACAGAAGCAAAGAAGCAAAAACAACAATTGAAAAGCCTAGTCTACTTTCGAGGGTATATCCTCGGGAGCGACATCTTCGAGAACCGTTTCCTCGAGGACCACATTCCAATCTTCAGAGCGTTGTCTTCGAAAACCTCCTCCGAAGCAGCAATAGATGAGGAAGAGGCTATAGCCTATCAAAGAGCAAAAGCTTTTAACAAGCAAGGAAAATTGTGACCTGGTGGAAAACTTGGCGAGTATGGGTCTCGTCAGCACTACTATTGTGAAGCCACTTCTTGAGACATTTCACCGGTGTGGGATGCAAAAGTTAGTAAATTGCTTCACCTTACTCCATGGAAAGCAAAAGGAGTAAAGCGCCATACCAAGTTGAAGTTAAGAGAGATGAGCAGCGGTTTACAGTCCATATATCTTCTGATGCGGGAAGAATCTGAGGCCTCTCTCTCATTATTTCGGAACACCAACAATAATAGCAACAACAACAACAACCCAGCATAGTCCCACTCAGTGGGGAAAAGATCTGAAAAAGAGTCATGGCATAACTGACAAAGCCGATGTCGTGTGACCTTACGGTCACGGGCTTGAACCATAAAAGCAGGAGTTAGGAGGAGGATGTAGAGAAGAGAAGGGCTAAAGGTTGTTGAAGAAAGATTGAGTGAAGTCTTGACTCAAACAATCCCCCATTTAAAGAAAGGCGGCAATGTAACTGACGGCGCAATCAATGACTTTGGGGAAACGTATCAACGGTGCAATCACCGCTTTTGGGAAAATGAACCGGTAGTGTATTCAATGCTTCTAGGGAGATGAACCGACGGGATGTTTCAGTCACCTCGAACGTTTACGTCACAAACATGATGTCATCATGAGATGCTCAAGAAAATCGAAGTCAGAGTCGTTTCATATCATCATATTCTAAGAAATGCGGGGACTATCTGTATACGGTCAAAATCAGGGAAGACCGATCTAAGGCTTCTGTGGGAGCTCAAGCCCGACCTTGGTGGGATCAAAGCACGGTCCAAGGCCCGTCCTCGAAGCACTCGCCTCGACAGGGTACGTCAAAGATTCACCATGATGTGCCTCGGGGTAGTATGAAAGTTGATATCCGTTATGGAAAGGCGAGAAACCCCCGAGGGCACACGATGATGACTGACAGAGTTTGGAAGAATAGTACAAATCCGTACCAAGCCGTTATACAACTGTACTTGTAGCATTTCTTCGTATATAAAGGGGACCCTTACCATCTTGTAAACCTCTCGGATTATTACACAACTTATTGAATACAATACAACATTTTCTGCTCTTTACTTAAACAATTGTTCTACGCATTTATTGCTTATTCTTTCATTGTTCATTTATTGTTTTTCATTTATTGCTCATTATTAACTGCAAAAGGCCATCTTTGGGGCCCTCATCACCATTAATTCTTCACCAATTGTTCATCACTATTAGCCCACTTAGACCTCGAGCCCTGCTTTAGCCAGCTCGAGGCCCAGCCTTGTGGCTCTATTGGTTTGCATTTCTTATTTTCTTCACTTATACTTAGCATCTATTGTTTTACAACTAGTATTAAGATAAATCACGTATTTTTAGAACCACAAAATCAAATATAATTCTAGTTACCATTTTCAAGGTAAACACTAGCAAAGTATACCGGTCCAGTATAATATGCTTGAAGTTCATACACAGGTGCTCAAAGTTTTTGCATGTTGGAGTTCCAGCATAATATACTGGAAGTTCATATAGGTGCACCGAACTCCAGTATATTATACTGGACCGATCTCTGTTGTAGCAAAATAGTGGCTATATTTAATGACTTGGAAAATGCTGGCTATTTTTGAATGACCAGTCCGAAAATTGGCTAGCTCGTGCTATTTTTACGGTAGCCACTCTAACAGGCTGCTATTTAACAATTAACCAGAGCATCTTGAATTTCAGATTTTGAGTTCATATTTTCGGGACAAAAATATCGTGAATTATCATGGAGTTAAGATTTTTAATTTAAAATTTCAGGGCAAACTACGTACTAGTTAATCTCTAAGTAGCATCCCTGAAAATGGCTACATGTTCACTTGCCCCAGGAAAAAAAAAATCAGAAATAACCTGATTTACAACTACTAATTAAAAATTAACCATAATTTCAAGAGTAACAGAAATTTAGCCAAATTTTCGTATAAAAATAAAATTTGAACCAAACAATACTTAAAAAATTCGACAAATTCCAGTATAATATGTTGGAGTTCAAATTTGTTACATATAAGATTCCAGCATAATGTAATGGAGTTTTATAATGTGTTGAAGTTCCAATACATTATGCTGGAAATTTATATACAGGACAACATGAGTTACATAATCTAGCATATTGTGTTGGAACTTTTCGTGTTTTAGCTAAGATATATTTTTCCAGATTTTATCTCCTCATAAAATAGTGCCTATTTTTTTTTAATGATTTTACAAATTTTCACTATTTTTTAATGGAAAACTACCAGCTAAGTCCATTTATAAGTAGATCATCACAAAAATTGGCCAATTCATAAAATATTACTAATATTAGCCAATTAGCTATTTGTACTAAAAAAATATCAAATTTTTGCTTTCTTTTGAATTAGTGTTATTAGAATAGATTGGGTACATCTTAAGGAGCTTGAATCTCTGTTTTGGGATGATTTGGTGAAATTTTGAGGTGGTTTGAATTGAAAATTCGAAGTAGAAACTGAACATGAAAAAAATGACATGTGTATCACACTGTGTATCATTTGTGTATCACATATGTATCACATTTGTATCAATTATGTATCAATTATGCATCACATGTATATCCATGTATACCTGTGTGTGAGATACATGCATGTTTGATACATGTGTTGCAGAATAATTTTTTGAACTCAATTTAATTACGAATTTTGATACAAAACCAGTCCAAATCACCTCCAATCTTATTCAAAATTTGTATATTGACTTATCTATATGTTTTCAATGAATTTCAACTATACCCATTGAAAAAGTTCCTTTTTTGCTTAGATATTTGAAATATTGTATATTTGTTTTTGTATTTCATCATCTTATTTGCTACCTCATCCATGAAATTTCATTTCCGTCTTTCATCTAATATTTCTAATCATGCTTAAAAATATGAAAGGTGATTTTTGCGTGTGATTCTTTGAGAGAAAGAACCTTATTTATTTGGTTTTTCAGTTTTTGTAAGTTTTCCTTTTTTATTTATCGGTCCAAAAACTAGTTATATCATGCTATTTTACCCAGATGTAACATCATCAGGCCCAAAATAATATTGAAGTTGAAGAGCTTTTAAATTAGGAATTTTACGCTTTATAGCGATTGTAAAGGAAGCTTTACCTCACATTATATGGTTTGATCATTTTCATTCCTATAAATAGGCGCGTTCAAGAAAAATCCAAAAACCAAACCAAATCTAAACTTTATAATACATATTTTTAGCCATAAAAAAGCCATCTAGGTACACTCAAGACTTGAGTTCTTTATTCTTCTATATCTACGTTATTTAGGACATTAGGATAGTGTCTGAATTAATTTGTCCGAACTTTGACTATTTTGTAGTACAGGTATTGAGTAAATGTAGTGTAAGAACGATTTATACAATAACTGAAAAACATCCCCAGATTTAACTTTTAGCTGACCATTTTCCTACTATAGTAATAACTGAAAAAACATCTCAAGACCAACAAAGGAACAGAATAGAAATCATATCCACCTGAAATGAAAACAATTGTTCCATATTGATTACAAGCATTGGAAGAATCGCGATTTTCAACTTTTATACCACCCACAATGATTTACTCAGATATTGAAGATTACTAAAACAAGATGAGCTAATGAAGAATGTAACATCCTCTTCCCTGACCCCTCCCACCAAAGAAAAAAAGAACTCAAGTGCTTCAGCTACTGTTTCCTACTTTTTCCTTTCTTTGCCTTTTCCTTTTCCTGCATTTTCTTCCTCTTTGCTTCTGCTGATATCCACGTGTAATCTTGAGGGACTGCAAAGGGATCTTGAACGTTTTCGATCCTATTACTTGGACTGCCTGTGGAAGAAGTAGGCCGATGATACGGGGCTTTTATCCACTGAAACCATGATGAACTTGACGGCTGCACCACTGCTGGACTCTCCCTACCTGAAGCAGTAGGGCTGGAAGGAGGAGTCTCGAACTCATCTACCGGCTGTAATTCTTCAAACTTAGTGAAAGTCACCAATACTCTAATTGTTGGAACAACCGGAATAGCTACCTGTTACATAAAAAAGGATTCTCAGTAGACTGAAACCTAACACATAGGTAATTATTAATATCAAGATTGCACGTTCCTTGTGCATGTATATATGAGTATTTAGAGATCTAAGACCTTTTAACAATTAGTGTAATTTCTTCTGAGAGTTGAATTCATGTCAAACAGATATCGGAAGGAAAGAGATGACCAGCATTAGAAGGAGGAGACCAAAGTTACAAAATTGAGGTCTATAGCACAAGAAATAGAAAATCCGTAAAGCAAATCTTCAAGAATTTCTGACACTAAGTTTTACTCACAACTAGCTAGTCTAAAGAATACCATGGTCAAAAAGTTTCTGCAATAGCAATTAGTCACAGGGTTTCTTTTAATTCCTGGAGAAACTACATTGTTTGTTCCCTCATTATAGTTAAGAGCATATGCAATATACAACCTTCTAGGTATAAGTCAAAGAAAAAGTAGCTTCATACACAGAATGACCATAGAAAACATTAACAGCAACGATGCCCATCTTACATTCAATTGCGCTTGTGTACCTGTTCTGATTTATTAATGACTCGAACATGTCAAAAAGTTCTACATCCAATCCTTAAGTGTTAAATCATGAGTAACCCCAGAGTTTTGCACTTGTGGTTTAATGGTTGCATACAACGTGAACTTACAAAGGTTTACTCCTGCTTTGATGTCAATTAAATTTCTATTGCGCGGCGAGCCTGTTTCTACATTATGTTTAATTGGTCTGTATTTATTAGTTTTCACCCAATCCTTCACTACTAAATCATAAGTACCTAGAGAATTCAAACTTATGGGTTATGGATGCACAGATACATAAACTGACAGATAAGTAATATTTAGGTTGATGCTGAAGAGTCTTAACAGCGAACAACCACCACCACTAAATCTGTTCCACTCCAAACACAGGCTAGAATAATCTGCATGGAGTCCAACGTTCATTTCAACATACACCAACCTAAAAATAAATTTTGACCTTAAATATGAATATATTCCGTAGTTACATTCCACTAGACTTTGTTCAAGCATGACAGATGAGTATCAGGGGTTTACGTTGCATCCATTGTTGACTATAGTGCACTTTGGAACATAATGGATCCCGAGGAACTAACCTTGAGCGTTATAACCTCATCATAGTTGTGAATGCTTTTTGAAAAGGTTTTTGTTTAGAAGGCCTCATTCCCTTTGAATTGTTGTCTTTCTTTTCTTGGGAAAAATCCACAGCTTTTTCATAGTGTAGGTTGAAGTGTAATTTTATGGATACGACCAAAACTCATGTATATAAGAGGTATACCAAAAAACATAGAATCTACAGATAGATATGATATGATTCTCTAGTTTATACACCCAATCTTCTATAGAAATAAGAAGCTCATAGGTGCACCAAAAAGACATTAAAAACAGGAGGCTATTTCTCATATATAAAAGTCATGCTCTTTCCTTTCAAAAACTCTCATATCTCTCCTTCCATACTATCCAAATAAGCACTAATGGAGCAATATCACACACCCTCTTCGATAATTATCATGAAAAGATACCTTAACAGTGCACAGCTCACGGACTTCAAAAGAAAAGTTTAAACTCTCTGTTGAGTGACACTTATCCGCCCNGGAAACTCCACATTCTTGAATTCTTGTCATGCGAATCTGTTGATTCTAGTAACTAAACATTTGTTGTTTTATTCTCTCACAGATGGTGAGAACTCGTACTGTCGGTCAGGAGGGCCAGCCACTAGTACCATCAGCCAGGGCCGCGAGAGGCCGAGGCCGTGGTAGGGGTAGAGGTGCACCCGCATAGCAGTTGGGGCAGTACCTACAGATCCATCGGCTGTCCCAGATTAGGACCAAGTTCCAGTTGTTGATGCACCAGCTCAGGCACCACCTGTGCCTATTNTTAATGTTGACTTCCACCATGGGTGGAGCTTTATTCCTACTATCATGATTCATAATCAATAACATTCACTTCCCAAAATTAAGATTTCAGATATTGCCTTAGTTCAATAACCAGTATTTATCAACAAACTGTATAAAAACGAATCCTACATTAGGACATTTACAGTTTACTACTTATAAGAAAAATCATAATTACAGACTAGCAACTTCTAGTTCAAGAGCATGATAAAAATAACAAAAAGAAACAAAGAAAGCTAAAATTTACTATTTAAAGTTTTTTAAACTCTAGTTATTTTGCTCATGGAGAATGGATAAGTGTCAGCAAGGACTATACATAACAAACATATCACTATTCAAACCTAATGAAAATTCAAAATCACATGAGTGCCAAACTAGGAGCAAAATTTCAACAGCAAGTACTTGACACATACCTTAACTGGGAAAGTTCCTTTTGGAAGTTTTGTTGTGAGCATTTCCCTCAACCGGCGGATAGCTTTAACTTTGTTGGCCAGAATGTCAAGCAAAGGAAGGAGCTCTTCAGTTTTTAATGGGAAATCTGGAGAAAGCCAAAGAACAGGCCTCAATCCTTTCTTATACTCATTTTCTCGGCCTCCATCTTTGCGCCGATTTCCATTTTCAACATTGCTAGATGTAGAAGCCTTTGCATCTCTTCCTAGTCTAAACTCATCCCTCGTCGCTCTGACATCCACAGAATGCCTCCCCCCCCTAGTTTCATTTATAGATGGAGAGCCTTCATGATGATTGCCGGCCCTCTCGTCAACACAGACGGAACTTCTTGGTGGAACAGCTCTTTTCTCCCCTTCTGGCTTAATATCCCGTTTCCTCCAATTGTTAAACCATCTCTTCTTTTCCTGCTTACTGTCGTTGTCATTCCTGCAACCATTTATCTCCTCGATGGGAATATCCCTTTGTTCATAACAACTATGGCGATGTGCAATGACCCCACTATCTCCATTCTCATCTGAAGAGTCCAACTTGAGAGCAACCTCAAGCTGCTTCCTTTCTTCCTCTGTCAGGATATCATCAAACTCTTCACTCTCCGTTTCGTTTTCATTGCAAGAATTGAAGAATTCATCATCCGTCATAGCTCCAGGTACCCTCCTTGATTTTATGCTCACAACCACATTATGCATATCATATACTTTAGCTTTCCAAGAACCTACCATCTCCGTTTTCTCCTGGCGCCTCCATGTTGTTTGTGGCAAAAGAACGGCTTCAGTGACATCAATCCCAGGCCTGAATATGTTCGTTTGAGACATCGCAGCAACTTCTTGCTGTACTTCTGCCTCAGTGGCTGGAGCACCAGCACCGTCTAAAGCATTCATAATTTCGTTTTCTTTATGTGAGATCATGCAAAGTGTTCCAGGAGGTACTTTACCATCCTCGGAACCATCACCAAGGAAGAGAATGCTCTGATCGGATCGCTGAATTCGGAACCCATCAAATCCAGCCAGTGTCATATCAGCCCTTAAATTTGCACCCCTCTTCCAAATCTTATATGTATCTGAAGGGGCAATCCTAGAAATGAAAGGTATAACAGAGCTCTCAAAGTGAAATGTTATTTCCATATAAAAATCCCTCATCCTCCTCATTGTCCCAATCAACCGTGGTAACCTTCTACACCATTTTGCCCAAGCCAAAGGCTGGTAGTGCCTAACTATGATCTTCGCAATCCTTTCTTCCTTATTACATATTGCCTCCTGTAGGGCACTCCAACCATGTTCATTTTGCAAGCTCCAATCTGCACCAGCAAGCATAAGCATCTCGGTTGCAGTCTCATCACCTAGTTTTACAGCCAAATGAAGAGGGCTGTCCCGGTTGGGGACATCCCGTCGATCAATCACTGCAGAAATAGCATCAGCCTTAACTTCCTCAGCCAGTGATACTGATTCAGTATGAATCTCAGCAGGATCACAAAGCCGCGGCAACACAGCAATTATCTTCCTCAGAGAGGCATAATCTTTCAAGACTAGAGCTTTGTGCACAGGGCTATGTGCATACTTTGAAAC